CGACATAGCAATGATGCCAGGCAATGCCAAGTAATGCAGGCCCAGACGACGGGCAACAACTGGGAGGTGACAGGGCGATGACGGGGCGGCGACGGCGACCACGGAGCCGCCAGACTGCCACCCAGGCCCAGACGACAGGCGGCGACGGGGTGGCGACGACGACCACGGAGCCGCCAGACCGCCACCCAGGTTCAGACGACGGGCGGCGACGGGGCGGCGACAGCAACTACGGAGCCGCCAGACCGCCAACCACGCCCAGACGACGGGCGGCGGCGACGCGGCGACAGGGCGGCGACGGCGACCACGGAGCCGCCAGAGCGCCAAGCAGGCCCTGTTCCCGTAGACCAGAAGAGCCCCCAAGTCCAAGCACCGTTTGGGGAACCATCACCATAGTCTCTTCATCAGTAGGTTTGTCTATACCCTCATCATACCCTCATACCCACCATACTCCTTCCACTAGAAACCAGCACCCACCCCATAGTCGTCATCATCATCATCAGCATCATCATCACCAGCATCATCATCATCACCACCATCATCATCATCATCATCATCATCATTATCATCAGCAGCATCATCATCATCATCGTCATCGTCATCGTCATCGTCATCATCATCAACAACATCATCATCATCATCATCATCATCAACATTATCATCGTCGTCATCATCACCACCACCACCATTGTCTTCAGCATCATCAACAGCAGCAGCATCGTCATCATCATCAGAATCATCATCATCACCACCACCACCATCATCAGCAGCATCAATATCATCATCATCGTCATCATCATCGTCGTCATCATCATCACCACCACAACCATCATCAGCAGCAGCATCGTCATCCTTATCATCATCATCATCAGCAGCAACATCATCATCATCATCACAGCCACCACCATCACCACCACCACCACCACCATCATCATCAGCATCAGCATCAGCATCATCAGCATCATCATCATTATCACCAGCATCGTCATCAGCATACTCGACAGCATCATCATCAGCATCATCAGCAGCATCATCATCAGCATCCTGACCATCATCATGAACACCATCATCAACAGCAGCATCATCAGCATCATCATCGCCATCGCCATCAGAATCCTCATCCTTATCCTCATCATCATCAGGAGCATGGTTGTCGTCACGATCACCAAAATCACAGACATCAGATCATCGTGGTCATCGTCATCATCGTCGTGATCGTCATGATCGTCGTCATAATCAGAATCATCATCACCACTATCTTCATCATCAACAGCATCATCATCCCCCTCGTCATTATCGTCATTAACATCGTCACCAACAGAATCATTATAATATCCTCCTGCTCCTCGTCCTCCTCATCATCATCATCATCAACCTCCTCCTCCTCCTCCTGATCCTCAATCCTGCTTGTCCTCATCGTCGCGCTACCTCCTGAAGGCCTCGTCCCAGCGGTTTCGCCTCCACCCTCCTCCTCTTCCTCCTCCTGTTCCTCCTCCTCCTCACATACATCATTCACGCCCGTCCCTCGTGTATTCGTACATTACGACCACGCCTCCAGAACACGCGAGCAAGTGCCACCTCTCCCACACCCAGGGAGCGTGGGACGCATTTATAAAGACCGAACCCCGTGCGCACTCCCTCCAGTGGCGAGGAAGCGCCACAAATGCCGCACCCTGGGAACGGGGGACGCATAGAGACCCCAACCTCTGGTGGCGAGGAACTGGCACCCCTGCTCCTCCCTGCCACTTCCTGGACGGTGGGACGGGCACCCATGGTGGCGAGGAAGCGACCCCCTCTGGCGGCGAAGACGTGCCACCCCTGCCACACCCTGGACGGTAAGACGGGTAGAAACCGCATCCCCTGCGCACACCTCTCTGGTGGCGAAGAGCGTCATGCCCGTTGCGCCCGGGAAGCATGAAACTGATAGAAACCGCACAGCATGCGCAACGCCTTTGGTGGGACGGATAGAGACCGCATCCCCCGCGCATCCCCTCGGGTGGCGAGAAAGCGCCAAAAATGCCACGCCCTGGGAGCGTGGGACGCATGGAGACCGCAATCCCCTGCGCACCCCCTCTGGTGGCGAGGAAGTGGCATGCCCGCCACGCCCCGGGAGCGTGAAACGGATAGAGACCGCGCCCCCTGCGCACACCACCTGGTGGCGAGGAAGCGCCACCCCTGCCACGCCCTGGACGAGGGAACGGGTACTTCCCTCATTAAGGAAACTCCCCTGGCCATCCTTTCTGGATGGGCTGATGGGGATATTTTTGATCGCGACCGCGAGCGGGCACCCGCGCGGCGTCGTGAGCTGATGGGGATACTTTTGGTCAACAGGCTCGCGAGGCGTGTCGGAAGCCGTCCAAACACGAGCCGGGCCGCGACCAGGCAGCAGGAAGAACAAAAAAACGAAGCGAGCGACCGGGCAGCCACTCAGGAGAAGAGGCAGAACCGATACTCCCAAACCCGGTGGCGTGGAAATCCCGGTGGCGTGGAAATCCCATGAACACGCAGAGGTCGAACGCGTGTGCTTCAGTCAAACGCCGTCGAAGACGAACTGGACCGACAGGCACACCCAGACGAGATCCGTGAAGTAGGCGACACAAATGCCGAAACATCGCGTCGGCGCTGGAGTGAAGAGGGGCAACCTCAACACCGAAAAGACTGCAAACGGCAGTAAAACCTGAGCGAAGTCCATGCCGGAGAACGTCAGCCAACGAGCGTACAGAGTCACACATGCCAAACCCGAGGTCCAGCTGATGTGGATACGCGAAGCGCCAAGAAGGTAGAGGAACAGACTGGCTGTCGCTTGCGCTTCAAGGTGGAGGTGGAGGATAATCAGAACACGTAAATTGAGGAGGAGGAGGAGGAGGAGGAGGGAGAGGAGGTCGTGGTAAGGAGGGACGCGGGGCAGGACAGGGAGAAAGATGAGCAGGAGAAGGAAAGGACGAGGGGGCAGCCCACGATGGGGCAAAACCATCACGGAGGAGGACGAGGACGAGGACGAGGACGAGGAGGACAAGGAGGAAGGAGGAGAAGGAGGTCCTCCCAAAAAATGGGCAATCATGATTTCCAAAAGATTGAATATGGACTCACCTTTTCCAGAGTGTACCTTCAGTACTTCACAACTGGAAAGCGTTTCATCCAGATCAAACTTTTCTACATATGAGGCGATCCGCTCGCGGAAAGTTCTGGCGGCCATAGCACCTCATTCCTAATTCCGCGGCGCATGATCTTCTCGCTTCCTGGGCCCTTGTGCTCGACATACTCTCGCCCTGGAGCTGGCCACTTATGGAGGGGAAGTCGCCCGTTTCCTCTACGTACCCTGCAGGCTTTTCATTATCGGAGGTACCAGGGCTCTGATGTTTGGGTCTTGTCGTTTGGTTCTGCCACCCTTCACTCGCCCAGCTTCCTGATTTTTGGGCCATTCTTGGTTCTTGAGCCACCCCCCTCGCATTCCAGTTTTTCTTGACCCGAAGGATGCTTTGTCTTGAAATGGTGGCTCTCAGGTCATGCATCGTCTCCGAAATACGAAAGCTGTGTGGCTAAGCATCCCTTTATGTTCTATCTCTGCAAGATTTCTGGTTCAGGAGGCTTGTTTTTCCAGCTCTGCTGGCCTATCTGGTTCAAGGGGTGCAATTCTGTATGTATGCAGGCTTGCTGGTTCAGGGTGCGTGTTTCTCTTGCATTGCATGCTTTCTGGCTCAGGTCGCTTGTCTTTCTAGCTTGGATCTAGGGCTATTCTCTCGCACGCACTGCAGGTTTTCTTGTTTCGTCGGCTCTTTCTCCTAGCTGTGCAGGCGTTCTCTTCGGGGCTCTCTAGGCGAATTAGAAAACCACACAGATGGAGTTGTCGCTCCCTTCGAAGAAGAGTTTAATCCAGAGTAAGCACGTATGACGGAATGTCCCGTCGGAGGGTTAACACTGTATTACATCTTTCGTGTGCAATTACCACCGAGAGGCCAAAATGAACCCAAACGGTTATAAGTTTGATGGATCAGGATTTGCATTGTCGGTCGGGACGCCTTCTAAGACGGCTGGAGGGGCCGCCAAGGGGCCTTGAGAGGCTCCGAACGGGGGTTCCAGATGTCCACAAGAGACTCCCAACATGTTCCCGACATATTGAAAATCGTGTTCTCTCTCGCTCTCTCTTCCATTCTCTCTTTCTCTCTCTCTCTCTCTCTCTCTTTTGTCCTCTCTCCCTCTCCCTCCATTTCTCTTGATCTCTCTTTGTCCGCCTCGGCCACCTAGGAAGTGTCGAACCGAGACGGGTTAAATCTAGATGTATCGTTTCCCTGCCAGGTGTCGAGTAGTCCACGAAGACAGGGGGGCGTCCACGAGAGGGGCTTAATCTGGAGCTAACCCTCCTCAGGGTGAATCCCTTCGGCGCTCGGCGTCCACGAGAGAGGTTCTCTCTGGAGCTATCTCTCCTCAGGGTGAATGTGTTGACGCTCGCCCAACGGATAGTTAAATCCAGATTTAACCTTCCTGAAATCTTGATATCCCTGGTCGGTCCTCCCTGCTCTCGGCGAGTAGTGGTCCGGGGGGGAGGCGGGGCACGACGAGGAGATCGTCCTCGTCCTCTGAATGGGGCAAAGGAGGAGGTAACCCACCCTCGTTTTCTGAACGTCTTCTGAAGGATGAGGGGGAGGAGGAGGTCGACGACGACAACGAGGACGCCTCGTCCTCTGAGGGATCAGGAGGAGGTTCCATCCTCGTCCTCTGGCGGACGAGGGAGGGAGGGGAAGGAAGAGAAGGAGACAAACCCTGCAGCGCGCCCAAATCCTCCGTGAACAGGGGGCATGTGGAGGACAAGCATGTCTGCAAGGGGGGAACAATATGCCCATGTACCGTAAGAGGGCGAGGAGGAGAAGGAGGAGGAGGAGCTCCGCCATACAGATCACACGGCAGCCGCCTCGATGTAGGCCAGCGCGAACATGTGCAGGAGGCTGAACAATCGCACCTGCACCGCGCGGTACGCCCCCATCCCCCAACTCTTCTGTCTCCTCCTCTCCTCCTCCCCTCGACCCTCTACTCTCTACTTTCTCCTTCTCATCCTCCTCAATGCTGAGGGTCGAAAGGGTTGGCCTGGCGCTTCGGATCCTGAAACATAAGCTTTGCTAACAGCTTCGCGGATGGAGGACGGGTCGCTGTCAAAATGTGGCTCTCGCCTTAGCGCCGCGCACACTCGTCCTAAAAGTGCGCAAGAGCTTCACGGATGAACGGCGGTAGTTTTTCAAAATGCGGTTCTCGCCGAAGCGCTGTGCACATCCATGTTGAGAGTTCGCAACAGGTTCACGGATTATTGTGGCTGCCGTCTCTGGTATGGCGTTTGGGCACGATGTCGGAACGTCAGGGCGCAACAGTCACGTTGATTCGCGATGTTGAAATCCCAGGAACAGCGCCCTGTCACAACTCAGGATCGTCAAGACGCAACAGTAGCGGTGATTCGCGGCGTCGAAGTCCCAGGAACAGCGTTCTGGCTCAGTTCTGGATTTTCAGACGGTTGTTTTCGAACGGGGCACTTCTGTCAATGGAAATGAGTTCCGTCTCGCGGCCTATGGAGAGGGAAACTTGGAGGGAAGGTCTATTGCAATGTAGTTAATGAGTCTTGGGTTTAGACTCATCCTCAATATCTTTCTCCCTCCTACTCCCCACTCCATCTGAACTTCCTCCTCACTCCCACCTCACCGCCACCCTTTTCCCTCCTCCCTCCTCCTCCCCCCTCCCTCCTCCCTCCTCCTCCTTTCGCCCCCCCCCCCCCTCCTCCCTCTTGCCTTCTCCTCCTGCCTTTCTTCTTCCTCCTCCTCCTCCTCCTCCTCCTCCTCCTCCTCCTCCTCCTCCTCTTCCTCCTCCTCCATTCGTTTTGCTTATGAATAACTTATCCGGTCACACCCCGAGGCCAGGTTTTATGGCGGGCCGGGCGTTTCGCCTGAGACTTCCTCACCACTTATGATTCTGAAGCTTACACAGCGACAACAATTCCACAAATGGGGAACGGGTGGTTTTCAAAACATGGTTCCCGCCTTAGCGCGGCGAACATTCGTTCCAAAAGTTTACGAACATTCACTGATTGAAGGGCGGGTCGTTGTCAACATGTGGTTCTCGCCTTAGCACCGCGCAAAGAGTTTCACGGGCTGAAGGCGGCTCGTTTTCAAAATGTGGTTCTCGCCTTAGCGCCGCGCACACTTGTTGTACAAATGTACAAGCTTCACGGATTGAGGGCGGGCCGTTTTCAAAATTAGAATGTGGCTCTCGCCTCAGCGCCGCACACATTCGTTTTGAAAATTTGCAAGGGCTTCACGGGTTGAGGGCGGTTCGTTTCCAAAACGTTGCTCTCGCCTAAGCGCCGCGCACATTCGTTTTACAGAAAAGCAAGGGCTTCACGGATTCCCATGGTCAACGTACCATAAGCGGTGTTTTGGACAGATTCAGGATTATGCGGGCGCAACAATTATGATGATTCGCGGCGTTGACATCCCAAAAAACGGCGTTCTGGCACGATTCCGGATCGCCAGCACGCAGCAGTCAGGTTGATCCGTGGCGTTGAAATCCCGAGAACACTGTTTTGGCATGTTTCAGGATCTTCAAACGGTTGTCTTCCAACGCGGCAGTTCCCCCAATGGAAATGAACCGTTGTGGGGCCTATGAACAGTGAGCGTGAGCTTGAAGGTAGGGTGTATTCCAACATCGTTGCTGCTCCTCCTCATCTTCCTCTTCCTCCTCCTCCTCCTCTTCATCCATTCCCTTTCGTTATATGTAACTTCTCCCTGTCGCACCCCGAACCCCGGGTGTTTCGCCTGAGACTTCCTCACCACCGATGACCCTGAAACTTCAAAATTGACAACAGTTTCTCGGATTAAAGGCGATTCCCTTTTCAAAACGCGGCTCCCGCCTTGGCGCCGCGCACATTCGTTTTAACAGTTTACACAACTTTCACGGATTGGGGGCGGGTCGTTTTCAAAATGCGGTTTTCGCCTTAGCGCCGCGCACCTTGGGCTTAAAAATTGCAAGAGCTTCACGGATTGAGGGTGGCTCCTTCTCAAAACGTGGCTCCCGCATTAGCGCCGCGTACATTCGTTTTAACAATTCACACAACTTTCACGGAGTGGGGGCGGGTCGTTTTCAAAATGTGGCCCTCGCCTTAGCGCCGCGCACACTCGTTTTTTTAAATCTACAAGAGCTTCACGGATTGAGGGCAGTTCCCTTTTCAAAACGTGGCTCCCGCCTTAGCGCCGCGAACATTCGCTGATAAGGTTTGCAAGAGTTTCACGGATTCCCATGATCCAAGTACCAGAAATCCTGTTTTGGAAGGAAGCATGCTTAGGAGGTCGCAACAGTTACGTTCATCTGCCGCGTTGAAATTCCAAGACTGGCGTTCTGGCGCGATTCCGGATCGTCAAAACGCAACAGACAGGTTGATGCGTGACGTTGGAATTCCGAGAACAATGTTTTGGCATGCTTCAGGGTCTTGGAACGGTTGCCTTCCAACGAGGCAGTTTCTTCAATGGAAATAAACCGTTTTAGGGGCCTATGAAGTGGGAGCTTGGACGGGGGGGTTATTCTAACATCGTTGATGATTCTTAGGTTTACACTGATCCTCCTCCTCCTCTTCCTCCTCCTGCTCCTGCTCCTTCTCCTGATCCACCTCCTCCGCCTCCGCCTCCTCCTCCTCCTCCGCCTCCGCCTCCGCCTCCGCCTCCTCCTCCGCCTCCGCCTCCGCCTCCGCCTCCGCCTCCTCCTCCTCCTCCTCCTCCTCCTCCTTCTCCTCCTCCTCCTCCTTTCATCTCCTCTCCTCTCCTCTCCTCCTCCTCCTCCTCCTCATCCCCCTCATCCTCCTCCTCCTCCTCCTTCTCCTCCTCCTGCTGCTGCTCCTCCTCCTCCTCCTCCTCCTCCTCCTCCTACTCCCTCCTCCTCTCCTCCTCCTCCTCCTCTTCCTCCTCCTCCTCCTCCTCCGCCTCCTCCTCCTCCTCCTCCGCCTCCTCCTCCTCCTCCTCCTCCGCCTCCTCCTTCTCCTCATCCTCCTCCTTTTCCTCCTCCTCCTCATCCGCCTCCTCCTCCCCTCCTTCTCCTCCTCCTCTCTCCTCCTCCGCGTCCTTCTCCTCCTCATCATCATCCTCCTCCTCCTGCTCCTCCTCCGCCTCATCCGCCTCCTCATCCTCCTTTTTCTCTCTCCTCCTCCTCTTCTCCTCCTCCTCCTCCTCCTCCTCCTCCTCCTCCTCCTCCTCCTCCTCCTCCTCCTCCTCCTCCTCCTCCTCCTCCTCTCCCTTCTCCTCCTCCTCCTCCCTCCTCCTCCTCCTCCTCCTCCTCCTCCTCCTCTTCTTTCTCCTCCACCTTCTCCTCCTCATCCTCGTCCTCCTCCTCATCCTCCTCCTCCCTCCTCCTTTTCCTCCTCCTCCTCCTCCTCCTCTCCTCTTCCTCTCCTCCTCCTCCTCCTCCGCCTCATCCTCGTCCTCCTCCTTCTCCTCCTCCTCCTCTTCTTCCTCCTCCTCCTCCTCCTCCCCCTCCTCCTCCGCCTCTTCCTCCTCCTCCTCCTCCGCCTCCGCCTCCTCCTCCTCCTCCTTCCTCCTCCCTCCTCCTCCTCCTCCGCCTCCGCCTCCTCCTCCTCCTCCTTCCTCCTCCTCCTCCTCATCATCATCATCATCATCCTCCTCGTATTATTGTTAGTATTATTATTAGTAGTAGTATTATTGTTTTTCTTCTTCGCAGTATTAGTATCATTATGTTTAGTGGTACTATTTGTGTTGTTATTATTGTTGTAGTGGTAGTCGTGTTCGTCACTTTTAAGATATAATTAATGCTATTAGTGTTGGTACTATTCTTATTCTGATTAGTATTACTATTCCTAGTGCAGTAGTATTCGTCTTACCTTTACTAGTATACGTAGTAGTAGCAATATTAGTATGCGTAGTGCTAGTATTAGTAAGATTATTCTTCGTCTTCACACTACTATTGATATAATTACTAGTGTTATTGTTAGTCTTATTCGTAATAGTAGTCTTCAAAGTCGTATTCTATTAGTACTTAACAGTCGTAATAGTCTTACACTTCGTCTTAGTAGTCGTAGTAGTCTTAGTAGTCTTAATATAACTCGTAGTCTTAGTAGTCATAATATTCCTTCTCTTCTTTGTATTGATAGTACTACTATTCGTATTCACACTAGTACCATAAGTATTCGTTTCCTTAATATTCGTCTTCATATTATTATTCGTCTTCCTCCTCCTCCTCCTCCTCCCCCTCCTCCTCCTCCTCTTCCTCCTACTCCTCCTCCTCCTCCTCCTCCTCATCATCCTCCTCCTTCTCATCCGCTCCTCCTCCTCCTCCTCCTCATATCTCGCCCCCTCCCCCTTCCCCATCCCCTCTTCCATCCCCCATCTCCCATGTCCGTCCCCACCTCATCCTCCATCCCCCATCCTCCTCCCCCTCGCCCTCCCCCTCCCCCATCCCCATCCCCCCCCCCCCCCCCTCCTCCCCCTCCTCCTCCGGCTCCTCCTCCTCCTCTCCTCCCCTCCTCCTCCTCCCCCTTCCCCCCCCTCCCCCTTCCCATCCCCACCCCCTTCCCCTCCCCCACCCCCTCCCCCTTTCCCTTCCTCCTCTCTCTCTCCTCCTCCCCTCTCCTCCTCCTCCTCCTCTCCTCCTCCTCCTCCTCCTCCTCCTCCTTCCTCCTCCTCCTCCTCCACCTCATCATCATCATATCATCATCATCATCATCATCATCATCATCATCATCATCATCATCATCATCATCATCATCATCATCATCATCATCATCATCATCATCATCGTCATCATCATCAGCAGCATCATCAGCATCATCATCAGCATCATCATCATCAGCATCATCATCAGCAGCAGCATCAGCATCATCATCATCAGCATCATCATCAGCATCATCATCATCAGCATCAGCATCATCAGCATCACCATCATCAGCATCATCATCATCATCAGCAGCATCATCAT